TAGAGTAACAGGCCAAGTGCTATGACTAATGTTCTACTCTCCAAAAGGATTGATACCATCTGTACTTAAAACAAACCTTAAGTTTCTTGCGTCATTTGCAAACTCCAGGAATTCTCTGTCGATTGCTCTCCACTGGGACCCATCCGCAGGGTTTCTCAACATATTGTCTACCTTACGGTCTTCTTTGTGCCATCACAACAACTTTGCATGGTCTTTGTTTCTGAACAGACGTTTCAAGCGTGGTATTATAGGAGCATACCACATGATCTTGGCAAAGATTTTCTTCGTGGGACGTTTGCCCTCAACATCACCAGGGTCATCTCGCCTGATCTTATACCGCGATGCATGACACACCGGGCATGCATCTAACTTCTTGTACTCCTCGCCATGGTAGAGGATGCAGTCATTAGGACATGCATGTATCTTCTGGATTTCTAATCCCAAAGGGTAGACTACCTGTTTTGCTTCGTACATAGTGGCGGGCAATTTGTAATCCTTTGGAACCATCTTCTTTTGGATTTTTAGTAACTCCCCAAATCCCATGTTAGATACACCATTCTTTGCCTTCCATTGCAGCAATTCCAGTGTGGTACCCAACTTTTTCTGCCCCGCATCACAAGTTGGGTATAGCAATTTCTTGTGATCCTCTAGCATGCGCTCAAACTTGATCTTCTCCTTTTCACTTTCACATTCTCTTTGTGCGTCACGAATGACCTGACAAAGATCATCAGTCGGATCATCTTCTGCGGCTACCTCTTCTTCAGCTTCTCCCATTGCAGTATCATTGAAGCACGCACCATCGGGAATAATATCATTGTCGTCCCATTGTTCTTCTTCACCTTCTTCCATTACAACACCGGTTTCTCCTTGCTTGGTCCAACAAATATAGTTTGGCATGAAACCCGACTTGAACAAGTGTGAACGAAGAGTCTTTGAGCAAGGATATTCCACCGTATTCTTATATATGGCACATGGGCAGCACATAAAACCGTCGTGTTTGTTTGCCTCGGCCGCACGTAACAAAGAATGCACGCCATCAATGAACTCTTGGGAGCGGCGATCAGCATTGTACATCCAATGCCGGCTCATCTACATTACATGACATAAATACCATATTAAAACCTAGATCATAATTAATTATTTATACAACATGCGTGCCACCACAAAAGGTACAAATTTATGAAAGCATTGCTACAATGTAGACAATCCCAACCATCACTAAAAGAACTAAAGCTAAAATACATTTCAGGAGCACAAGGATTTCGCGACCAATCTCAACTAAAATAGACAGATCCCCCAATTGTGCAACATCTTTGGGCTTCTTCGGCTGGATCACTGCCTCATTAGCCGCCGTATCTGCCTGTTGTGCAAGATATTTTTGCACAAGTTCAACATACTCTTCCTCCCAGTAGAAGCCTGAACATCGTCCACTGCCATCCCACTGAAATTAAAACAAAAAATTAGAAATTTAATCACAACCATCATGAAAATAGGTATAAACTAACCATAATCATTAAATACGATAAAATAACACACATTACGATCCGGACACTTGTAGAAGATACAATCCTTGTTGGGACCCTCCTTCTTCACTCGGTACTCCATCACAATCTTCGTCTCATCACGACACTTGCCGCATGGAATGAGAGGGAGGCCCGGCCTAAGTCGCTTTGGAAACCCATGAGAGGCCGAGGACCCGGAAGCAGTTGTCATCTACTCTCTATACTAGTTTTTTAATACACTATAAATTTCTTATTTTATAAACAAATAAAATTAAGAAACTATAAAATTATCTATATCTCTATACTCATTTTTTAATACACTATAGCTCAAAAACATGTTTTAATAAATAACCATCCGTACTAGTTGACCTTGCTTACGTGATCATCTCAGCGAGCATTTCTCCACTAGACGGCACCGTACTTGGTCAAGGAAGAGCTCTGATTCTACGAGGAAGGGAACACGGTCTTCCACGACCGTTGTCGCTCTCCCTTGTAGAATCAAAGCTCCTCCTTGATGTCCGTTACCGCTCGACAGAGAACATGCTCGCCGAGCTGAACACGGTCCGCAAGTTCAACTAGTACGGATTTTCTATAATTTTCTAACTATTTTCTAAGTTTTTCATTTCATAAAAAGTTAAAATAAAAAGTACGGTGATAGACAGACTACTGCGACGATATCGGGACATGTGAATAAATAACCATGAACTTGCTTACGTGATCATCTCGGCGAGTATTTCTCCACCGGACGGCACCGTACTTGGTCAAGGAAGAGCTCCGATTCTACGAGGAAGGGAACACGGTCTTCCACGACCATTGTCGCTCTCCCTCATAGAATCAAAGCTCCTCCTTGATGTCTGTTACCGCTCGATAGAGAACCTGCTCGCCGAGCTGAACACGGTCCGCAAGTTCAACTAGTACGGATTTTCTATAATTTTCTAACTATTTTCTAAGTTTTTCATTTCATAAAAAGTTAAAATAAAAAGTACGGTGATTGATAGACTACTGCGACGATATCGGGACATGTGAATAAATAACCATCCATACTAGTTGAACATGCTTACGTGATCATCTCGGCGAGCATTTCTCCACCGGACGGCACCGTACTTGGCCACGGAAGAGCTCCGATTCTACGAGAAGGGAACACGGTCTTCCACGACCGTTGCCGCTCTCCCTCATAGAATCAAAGCTCCTCCTTGACGTTCATTACCGCTCGGCAGAGAACATGGTCGCCGAGATGAACACGGTCCGCAAGTTCAACTAGCTACTTTAACCTTCTTTCATGTAAATATGCAAGCTTGAAGTGATTTTGAGCTCAAATTGCTTACGAATGAAAAAAACCACAATAAAAAACCATATATATAGTGAACAAAATGAGATAAGACAATGGTGAAAAATGAGAGTATGAGGTTGGTAACCTTTACAACTGAAGAATTGATGGAGGAATCCAAGAAATCGACGGAGGAATCGAAGAATGGATGGAGGAACAATGGAGGGAGGGAGGAAGCAAGAACACTAGTGCAGTGAGCTTTAAAATGTGCTGAGCTCGGGCTCGGGGAGGAAGGAGACGGCCGGGATATAAAGGGGGGACCTTTAGTCCCGGTTGGTGGCTCCAACCCGGACTAAAGGTAACTTTCAACCTCTCAAGCGCGCCACGGCCCGGGAGTAGATTTTTACTCCCGGTTGGAGCCACCAACCGGGAGTAAAAGTATTTTAGTCCGGTTGGTGGCTCCAACTGGATTAAAAGTCTGGTTGGTGGCTCCAACCGGGACTAAAGGTCCCCGCCACCTCTGCCTCTGGGCGCAATAGCGTTAGTTAGGCAGGGACCTTTAGTCCCGGTTGGAGCCACCAACCGGGACTAAAGGTATCTCTAGTCCCGGGCGCAAAAAATTTCGGGACTAGAGCCCATTTTGGCCGAGAATCAAAGGTCTATTCTCTACTAGTGTCGGGTGCTCACGGAGTGTGCCTATTTATACCTGGAGTGGCTATCGGGCTTCGTCTTGGGCCGGTTGGGCCAGGCCATTTTCCGTGGCGGGCCTTATAACGCGCCTGCCTCGGAAAATCAATTTACCGAAGCGGACACCTTAAAATGCCCGCCACGGTTAATACCTATTAACCGTGACAGGAATTTTAAGGTGCCCGTCTCGATAAATCGATTTTTCGAGGCGAGCAAAAGTGCCCACCACGGTAAATAAAAAACGCCCGCCTCGGTAAATCGTGGGATTTACCGTGGCGGGCTAAAATAGGCGTCCGCCTCAGTTAAGTTTTTGGGGTGTCTCGTAAAATCATTTCTGTAGTAGTGTGCTGTGCAGCCGCAGTGTACCACCATGACCGGCGCCAAGAACTTGCGCCGAAGTCATCAGCTCAACCCGCAGCTGCTCAACCCGCAGCTGCTCAACCTGTACGGGATGATGCCCGCTGGCCAAGCGCCATTACCCAGACAACCGGTGCTACGCCGCTGGTAGCTCCGGGGACCTTATCAGGTCCTGAGCCCGGCCAGGAGCCTTGCGCAGACTCTTGTGCGGCTGTGCTGTCTCCGCGCACGCGTGCATGCATGCAGCAACGCCACGCCCAACGCTGGCCGAGCGGGGTCGTCCTCTTCTCTTTGAGCCTGATGTCAGCATGACATAAGATGACGCCATATACCATATTTTTTCCCTTGGAAAAGAAAATCTGAAATACACTACAAATACAACAAATCAATGCACACGAGTCGTTTGATCAGCCGCCGAGATTCACCGGCCCATATACACTGCAAATATTAATGCTGACGTCAAAAATAATGTTTTACGTGAAAAAAGATTTATAAAAAACATATTTCAACAATATTTTAAATTCTTCAGACTTCAAAAATTAATATAGCTTTTTATTCGAAACTTCAATTTCAGACTCCAATTTCGTCGGATCCGATTACTAACCAAAACAATAGCCTTGCAAGATACCTGAAGGCTAATGGGATTGGGTCCAAAATTGAAGAAGTCATATGTAATCGTGCAAAGCACCGGCATTATAGCCTTGCAAGATACCTGAAGGCTAATGGGATTGGGTCCAAAATCGAGGATGTCATATGTAACCGTGCAACGCACGGGCATTATTCTAGTATGTCATATTTTTGTATAACAGTTTCTAGATTTATAATTAATCATTAAAAAATATTATTTTTTAAAAAAATTGGGGACGCGCGCCTGGACCTGGGCGTTTTGTAGCTGGAGACGCGCAAAATGGATGACACGGGCTGCACCTGCGCCTGCACGCAGCGACGACGTGGATGGCAACGGCAAGCACATGCGAGTGCGGCACGCCGGCGCCAGCCCGCTCCCCGGTCCCCGCAAGGCGACAGAGGAGAAGAGGAACCCCTTGCCAGTTCGGAGGATCTCTCTACCTCTTTCCCCACCCTGAACCCTAATCCTCTCCTCCGATCCGCTCCCGATCAATAGCCCCTCCATCACCGCCGATCCAAGGCCGATCGATGGCCCCTCCATCGCCGCTGCCGTGCCCGCGATGCAGCCTCCATCTGATGGCACCCCAGCCCCGCTCCTGCTCGCCGTGGGTGCTAAGGCCTCAGACTTCGACGTCGCCCAAAACCCCAGCCTCCACGGTACTCAGGTCTAGTTGGATCTCGTGACCCCAATCGACAAAGTGACTAAGGTGGATCATGCAGCAAGCGGCGCCCAAGCAACAAGAAGAAGTCCAAATCCAAGTCGAAGAGGGACGAAAACAGCATCTGGACCAGGCCCACCTCCAGCAAGTGCAAAAAGAAGGCAACGCCGTAGCCGACCACCGCCCGGCCCTGGCCCGGCGCCGCTGGCGCTGAGGATCAACCGATCGAGTGCCCACTGGGGCAGCCCGTGCTCCTCTTCCGTCAAGTCCGGAAGGATTGTGCTCTCGGCCGACCGCCTCACCGCCGCCAGCTCCATGGGCTATCAAGATGAAGCGCGCCACGCACGGCGTCGCGTCTGGGGCGTGGTACTTTGAGGTCAAGGTCATGCACCTCGGCCACACCTGCCTCGGGTGGGCAACCAACATGGCGGACATCGACATGCCCGTTGGGTGTGGTGCCTATGGGTTTGGGTACCGCGACAGCGATGGCGCCAAGGTGCACATGTCTTGGAGGGACAAGTATGTGATGAAGAGATGTGCTAGGGTTCTACATCTCTCTGACTGATGGGGAGAGGTATGAGCCTCAAGTGAGTCGGAACAACAAGGGCAAGCCTTTTCTTCTGCAAGCCCCCAACAAGGTTCCAGGTAATATAAGTGCCTGTTTCAAATTCCTGTATATATAAGATGGTGGTTGTGTTACTGTGCCAATTTATTTATTAAAAAGACATGCATGCAATTGTTACAATGAAGTGATCATGAACTCTAGCTATTTTTGCATATAAGAGAGTTCCATAAACATGCATCCACTCGGTGCTTGAGATGTTGTAGACGACTATTATTAAACTTTTGTAAATGGAGTGTTTATTAGCAATGTTCCGAGATAACAATTTCTTATGGAATAAGTAATAATCATTGTTACCTCGAAACCATTAGATGTAGTTGCTTTTACAATTCTTTTATTAGTTATTATATAGAGAGATAGTTAGGGCTGGGAAAAGTTTTTATATAAATCATATGCATGTATTTTTTAAATGATGTTAAATTAAACAATTGAATGTATTACTCATGCTTTATGTCAAGGGCGTCGAGGACTAGGGTAGCTGGACTACGTAGTTCGTAGCCTATTCGTGAGGTTCGGGCGAGGTTTTACCCCTCGGCGCCCTATTGTTGAAGAAGGGGATTTAGGAGATAGGAATACTGCTTAATCCTTCTCCAAGAGCCATTCGACTTACATATAGGCACTAGGCTGTCAATCACTCCTCAAATCTCTATCAATCACTCACTAATATTTTTCTAAATAAGCACCAGCTAATGCCGCGCCTCTAATTAACAATAGATTAGCCACTTTCCTGACCAGCTTTTTCTGCCTTTTTAGCCCTCTTGGCTAAACTGCTTTCCCCACATAACATCTCTCCCCCCTCGACAAGTAGCTCATCCTCGAGCTGTAAATCTAGATGGCGCTTGATGAAGGAGTCGATGTCTTCCTAGGTTGCCGATGCTGTTGGTTCCCCCTTTCTACTGGGACGAGCACTTGCCTTGACGCCACGGGCTAAGCGAAAGTGCGCACTGCTCACTCTGGTTCTCGAACAACTACTCCATGGTGTTTGACTGGTAGAGGTGGTGGGGCGTCTGGTGGTGTGCCAACAAACTTCTTAAGAAGCCCCACATGGAACACATCATGCAAGGGAGCGCGCCGTCTTCTCGACATCATTGGGGTTCATCCGGACATGGTGATAGCCCGAACAAAGGCCGAGCCAGGAAGAACCTTTGCCCCATGCAGCTCATCTAGGAGCTCATCGATGACAGGGATGGGGAAGGCGTCCTTGACGGTGATGACATTGAGGGTGCGGTAGTCGATGCAGAAGCACCAGGAACCATCGGCCTTCTTGACGAGCAGGACCGGCGAGGAGAACATGGAGGAGCTCCTGTGGATGAGGCCCTGGTCTAGCATTGCGGCGCATTGCCGCTCTAGCTCATCCCAGTGCATTGCCGATTACCGGTAGGGGCGTATGGCCACGGGCTGTGACCCCCGGGGTGAGGACGATGCTATGGTCGTGGGTGCATGGTGGTGGAAGCCCGTGGGGTTCAGCGAAGACGCGTGTAAAATCAGAAAGCAGGGCCTCAAGGAGGTTTTCGTCCGTTGACGTCGCGACCCACCATGCCTTGCTAGCGGACTTGGTGATCCTTGCGCCAAAAGGACATTGTGCGAGCGCTGAAATTCTAGAGAATGGGGCCCAGCGAAGCGAGCCACTGGGTGCCGAGGACAACGTCATAGTCGGCCAAGGGCTGGACGAAGAGATCCGCGTGGAATGCCTCGCTGTCAATGGAGAAAGCGGCTTGGCGGAGGAAGCCCAGGCAGGGGACGTGTTCACCGTTGGCCACTGTGACTTTAATGCTGGCACGGCGCTGCAGGGGCAGGGCCATGCTGTTCACCGTCGCCTCTGAGATGAAATTGTGAGTCGAACCGGAGTTGAGCAGCGCTAGGAGGGTGTGTGACGGATCTGCATCGTCTCGCTGGTGCGGACCCCAGTGTTGGCGTGAAGGGAGATGTGCGGCTCCACATCCACCATGGTGTCGTCGCCCGGCAGCTCGTCCTCCTCCTCGTCATCCGTGTCCTCCAGCAGGAAGAGGCGCTGGCAAACCTTGTTATGGCCGTGCTCGAACGTCTCATTACAATTGTAACAGAGTCTGAGGCAGTGTCAATCCTCCATCTCGACCGTGGACAGGTGCTTGACCTGGTGGCCCTCCACCGTGACCGTCGCCGGTGCTAGCGGCATAGTTTTTCGGCGTGGGCAGAGCTAGGCGCGGAGGGGTCGCTAGCAGGAGCGCGCGCACTGGAGCCTGGGGTGGTTAATTGGTGTGGCGCCACCGGGGCGTTAGTGGAGGTGCATTGCTCCTGCAGCTCCAATTTGCGCACCAAGCTCATGGCTGCGGCCAACAAGTGAGGGTTGTGCAGGTTCGCCCGACGTGTTCTTTCCCCGAGGCAGAAGGCTGCGGCCGTGCCGCATGCATCCAGGCACTAGATCACCTGGGAATTGGCCTCGATGGAGGACTGCAGCGTCTTGCATTGATGGTGTTGGTGAGGGCGGCGAGCACCGTCTTGAGGTCGTCGCTGTTGTCTCCCATCGTGAGCGTGCGCTGCGGAGTGGGCGGTGCAGAAGCTGGGCGAGTTGGAAGCGTTGCCGAGGCGGGCGGCTGCAACGAGAAAGGCCTAGAACCACTACGGGAAGAAGGGTCTTTGCCGAGTGCAACTTTCTTTGCTGAGGGCTAAAAGTCGGGCACTCGGCAAAGAGCTATTTTGCCGAGTGCTGCACTCGGTAACGATATACACTCGGTAAAGAAGGCATTGCCGAGTGTCAAGCACTCGGCAAAGCCAGACGTGTCAGGCTCTCGGCAAACCCTGGTGCTCAACAAAAAGCGGCGTCAAGTAATGGCCGTCGCCTGCCGTCCAGGTTTGCTGAGTGCCAGCGGGTAGGCACTCGACAAACCACTTCTTTGCTGAGTGCCAGACCCTGACACTCGGCAGAGAATAATGGCAAACTATTTTTTTCCAAGTTCTGAACTTCAAAATTTTTCCCGAGTCCTCATACAGTACATGAGACTCCATGTTAAAATTTGGTACATTTTTATAGTTTTTTGCTATATTTAGTTAATTTATTTCATTTAATTCATTTTTTTTCGAAAAATGCAAATTTGAACTGCACGTGCATCGAATAATGGAATTTAATGATTCAAAAAATGATATTCATGGTATTGAGTGTAGTGTGAGGCCGTATCCAGGAACGGACCCAAAATTTCGAACATCTTGTTCACGAAACATGACCACGAACTTGTAGATGAATTGTTTTTAAATTCTATAAAATGAAAACGATGTCCGAATATCATGAAACTTGTCGAGATGTCATGATATCGTATGTGGAGGATGTGATAAAAATTTGAGAAGGTTTGGTGCATGTTATCACGTACGATGCTTATAAACCAGGATGTCAAGATGTTCGAAATTTCAGGTCCGTTCCTGGATACGGCCTCACACTACACTCAATACCATGAATATAACGTACGATGCTTACAAACCAGGACGTCAAGATGTTCGAAATTTCAGGTCTGTTCCTGGATATGGCCTCACACTACACTCAATACCATGAATATCATTTTTTGAATCATTAAATTCCATTATTCAATGTACGTGCAGTTCAAATTTGCATTTGCCGAAAAAAATCAATTAAATGAAATAAATTAACTAAATATAGCAAACAGTTCCGGAAATGTACCAAATTTCGACATGGAGTACCAAGTACTGTAAGAGGACTGCAAAAAAAGTTTGGAGGTCAAAATACAAAAAAAATTGGTTTGTCGAGTGTCATCTTTTGACACTCGGCAAACTTGTTCTTTCCGAGTGCCAGCTGCCAGGCACTCGGCAAAGTGTTCCCTTTGCCGAGTGTCCGTGGGGACACTTGGCAAAGAGCGTGCCAAATTTTTTTAAAAAAATGTTTGCCGAGTGCCTCTCCGTCCGGCGCTCGACAAAGTGGTATTTAAAAAAAACGATGCAGTGCGGTTTAGGGTTTATATTTCAAAAAAAAGGAAAACGCGTTTGCCGAGTGCCCCGATCTAGCACTCGGCAAACCGGCTCATCCACACTTAGACAAACTGGCCACCCAACCGTTACCTCCCACCCTCCCACACACGCACACAGGCACACACGCGCGCCACCGTCCCGCCCCGCCCCGTGCATGCCTCGCCCGCTCACCCTCCGGCGCGCCCCGCCGCTGCTGCGCGGCCACGACAGCGGCTGGCGCGCGCGCCAGCGGCGCCCACCGTCTTCACCCGCCCGCCCCACCCCGCCGACGCGCCCTCGCCGCTCCGCCACCCGCGCATGGCGGTGTGCCCCCACCGCCTTCGCCCGCCGGCCCGCCCACACCGGCGCGCCTCCGCCGGCCACCCCAGACACCACGGCCCGCCGGTGCCCGCCGCCCCACGCCCATCGCTCCAACCCCACAGCCCGTGCCCCGACCCACGACAGCGCCGCCCCAGCCCTCACGGCGCGACCCCGGCCATCCTCGGCGCACCCTCGACCGCCGTGGCCATCCTCTCCCCATCCCCAGCGCGCCTCGCCCGACCCCGACGCTCCGACGTCCTCCCAACCCCGACACCATAGGTGAATATTAGAGTAGCAGTGGTAGTATGTTTTAGTGGAAGTAGAGTTCGGTAGAGTAGTAGTAGTAGGTGGTTGTGGTGGTGGTAGTAGTAGTACAGTAGGTGGTTGTGGTGTTAGTAGTAGTAATAGGTGGTGGTGGTGGTGGTGGTGGTGGTTGTAGTAGTAGAAGAGTAGAGTGGCGATGGTGGTGGTGGTTGTAGTAGTAGAAGAGTAGAGTGGCGGTGGTGGTGGTGGTTGTAGTAGTAGAAGAGTAGAGCGGCAGTGGTGGTGGTGGATGAATGTGACTTGACAATGACATGTTGAATTGAATGCATATGTATATGTGGTTGTCAGCCATCGTGCCGTATGTTTTTTGTAGGTTTTGGATACCTCACCGTGCAGGGGAGGTTCTGCCGAAATTTTGAACTGAG